GCAGCAAATAATTAGGGCACCACATGGTAAATGCCAAGGGAGCTTCAGACTCTTTCATACAGACTCAAAAAGGAGGAAATAATGAATCCCGCCTGGCAAGGGATGAGAGGCAGGGAGGCTCCAGGAGGAGTGGGTATCTGGGTGGAGCATGGAAGGTTGAGCAAGAGTTTACCAGGCAAAGGAAGAGAGGGGAAGAGAGGAAATGACATATGCATGGCTCACCAGCAAAAGCATGTGTGGAGGTGCCAGCTGTGCTTAGAATGGCAGTATAAGTGGACGAGGAGAGCTGGGGGAAGATGAAGATGATTTGGCCTGGGGTGTTAGTTTGGACATGGGTTCAGCTGTCCTAAACAATGTTCCAAAATCAGAGTGGCGTTAGAAAGAAAGATGTGTATTTCTCTTACATAATAGTATGGGCATGAGCAGTTCAGGGCTGGTAAGAGGCTTCTCAGCCAGAGACCCAAGCTCCTTCAGCCATCCCAGGACACGGCCCCATCCACATGGTCTCACATGGGGCTCACTTACTCTTGCACATCTGTGTTCCACCCCACCATCTCCCTAGTCGTAAGGCATTCTCTAGTCACCTCCACCATTCTATATTCACAGTACAGTCTATATTTACCTCATCCACCTTCTATACTCCAGATGAAAGGGGGAGAGTGAGGACAGGTCTCTCTCCTCTAAGGGTGCAGCTGGGAATTGTACATGTGGCTCACATGCTGTGCCGACATGATGGAGCCTTGCTATCAGGAAGCCTGGGAAATGTAGTTCTTATTCTGGGCAGCCATATGGGCAGCCATCTGCCCAGCTAAAAATGGGAGGTCCTATTTCCATGCGAAAGAAAGGGAGCTGGGATGCCAGGAGGCCACGAGCAGCCCCGTCTTTTCGTGCCTGTGAGTGCTCTACCAGTGATCTCTAGAATTCCTTTGGGAAAGCCAACATAACGTGCTTCAATTTTCTGCTTTGTTTATTCTGACATGCTCACTTGTTGGTGACTGATTTCTCAAAACTGGAATTTTCAGGATGTAAGAGGTTACTCAATGTCAGCAAGTGATAAATGAATGCTGATCCAAGCATGTGCTTTGGAAGCAGGAGCTCTGACGTGGTTTTAAAGACACTTTCCACCATGTCTGTCCTGTGGAGGTCTTTAGGGCCCCATGGCATTCCCATTGCCAGAGTTTGCAAAAACAAGTCAGTTACCATTTCCACTGCCCCAGACTAAGGAGATAGGAACAGACTTCTCGTTAAGCCAGGGCAGAAAAATGAAACAGATCATGTGTCTGACTCCAAGTATACATCTTATGGTGCCACCTGATCTTTCTCAGCTTCAATAACCTCTTCAGTAAAACGGGGATAATGATGACTCTCAGGTTGGCAGAATTAAATGAGGTACTATATGTAATACATAGAGGGAGCCCAACAGATGTTTGCTTTTCTTCTAATTGGACTGTCCATTACTATGGGCACAGCACTTGGATAGAAACTACAATGCAAGAAAGGATTTAAAAGCCTGGTTTCTTGCAAAGAGGGAGGGCCATCTCTGCCTCTACTGATACCCTAACGAAGTGATCAATTCTAATTTTTTTTTTTTTTTTTTTTTTTTTTTTTGGAAGGAGTCTCACTCTGTCGTCCAGGCTGGAGTGCAGGGGCAGCATCTCGGCTCATTGTAACCTCTGCCTCCTGGGTTCAAGTGATTCTCCTGCCTCAGCCTCCCAAGTAGCAGGAATTACAGGTGTGTGCCACCTCGCCTGGCTAATTTTTGTATTTTTAGTAGAGACAGGGTTTCACTATATTGGCAAGACTGGTCTCAAACTCCTGACCTCAAGTGATCTGCCCACTTCAGCCTCCCAAAGTGCTGGGATTACAGGTGTGAAGTACCATACCCAGCCAGATCAATCCTAATTTGAGCAATAAAAGGAGCAAAGACAAATCGTGTCCCACCTGTTGAGTTGCGACAAAGCATCACTTCTATGGTATTCTTTTCAAGAACTTATAACCCAAATTTAATCACAAGTAAATTTCAGGAAAACTCAAATCCCAGGACATTCTGGAAATCAACTAGCCTGAACTCTAAAAATATTACTGTCACGAAACACATACACATGTGCATATGAAAGAAGGGGAACTATTCTAGCTCAAAGGAGATGAAGAAGCACAGCAAATGAATGTCATCTTAAGTTGTTGATCAAATAAATCTGTAAAGGATGTTGTTGGTACAATTGGGGAAATTTGAATATAAACTATGTATTAAGCAACACTATGTATCAATAAAGTTAAATTTGTTGAGTGTTTGTTGCACAGGAGAGTATCTCTTAAGAAATACATGCTGATGTATTTACAGGTAGAATATGATGACTGAAATTTAATTTCAAATGATTTTTTAAAGTGTATGTGTGTGGCTGGGTGTGGTGGCTCACACCTATAATCCCAGCACTCTGGGAGGCTGACGTGGGTGGATCACTTGAGGTCAGGAGCTCGAGACCAGCCTGGCCAACATGGTGAAAACCCGTTTCTACTAAAAATACAAAAAATTAGCCAGGCGTGGTGGTGGACACCTGTAATTCCAGCTACCCAGAAGGCTGAGGCAGGAGAATGTCTTGAACCCACAAGGTGGAGGTTGCAGTGAGCCAAGATCGCGCAGTTGCATTTCAGCCTGGGCAACAAGAGAGAAACTCTATCTCAAAAAAAAAAAAAAAAAAAAAAAAAACCACACACATACATATATATGTGTGTATGTGTGTGTATATATATATGTGTGTGTATATGAAGAGAGAAAATTCTAAAACAAAATGTGGTAGAATGTTAACAGTTGGTGAATTGACAGGTTATATTGTTTATCATTGTATTATTCTTTTAACTTTTGGGGTGGATTTGAAGTTTATCAAAATAAAAGTTGTAGGAGAAAAAGATGATATGAAGGGAAAGAGTTTGACTTTTCTATAAGAAGGTTAACTTGAGGCTACATATTCAAGAGAGCCTCTGGGTCTGGCTGACCTATTGCTTCTTCCAGGACAGTGTAGAAAATAAGTCATTTAGCTGCACATCTGTGTTTAAAAAAGAAAAAAAGCAAGGGTCCCTTGCTTACTCAGGCCCAGCACTGTGGGTGGGCCTTGGATGAGGCCAGGGAAGAGAGGGCTGTCAGTTTCACCCACCCTTGGAGACAGCATCAGCTTTATCACTGGTGACAATGTGCAAAGGAAAGCTCAAAAGCTGAGGCAGAAAAGTAAAGGGGGCAGCTGTCTTGTAAAATACAGTCACACAAACGTGAGTTTCCACTCCATGGGTGAGATCAAAAGCCATGGAGCTGCTGATGAACAGGCTGGTCCTGACGGCAGATGCTCGAGATTCACAGGTGGGCCTCGGGCTGCTTGAGGAGGGAGGAGCTGACAGAACCAACGAACACAGATGCCTCGCAGGGGGTTAATCACTCCCTCGACCTGCCATATGGCCAGGGAAATCTCATGGAGCCGGATGGGTGCTGGTAACATGGACTTGCTTGACCTCGTGGCAGTGAGCCAGCGTGACCCAGAAGAGGACTCCGTTAAATACATATATTAAGACAACACAGGTAAAAGCTTCTGGCTTTTATCTGGAGGACAGTGGGTAGTCAAAGAGTTTTTCATTAAAAATGGTTTTTAGAATTTCCAGAATGTGATATATGTCCTAAGGGCAGTGCCGTGGAAACAGGTTCCCCAGATTCAGGGATGAGGAGGCATTGACAATGGAGACATTTTACATATATATATAAAGACACTCATATATATTCAAATTATATATCTATTTCAAATTTATATCTAGAATACATGTATAATATTTAAGAAAATATATAAAATCAATATGTAATAAAACATGCTAAATTTTCAGTGTGTATATGCACACTTTGAGTTTGCACATTTTTATTATCTACCCTTTAATCAACAATGGAAGTTAACTCGGAGAACTACCAGTTACAAAGTTGGCCCCCAGTGCTGGCAGACTCAGCTGCACACATGCCTTGTAAATTTGGGATCAGGTAAGCTCTGTCTGAGCTCTTGTTTCCAACCTGTCAATGGTCTGCATGTATGTTCCTGCTTTTAAGCAGTAGATTCAGAATAAACAATGCTAACAGTGATCCTGCAGGGGAAGAAATAGAACTTGAATTACTCTAGTCCTGTTATTCTTTTATAGGTAACTTGGAGTTTTTATTTCTATTTAGAATTTTTATTTATTTATTTACTTATTTATTTGAGATGGAGTCTCACTCTGTCACCAAGGCCGGAGTGCAGTGGCGCGATCTCAGCTCACTGCAACCTCTGCTACCCTGGTTCAAGAAATTCTTCTGCCTCAGCCTCCCAAGTAGCTGGGATGCATGCCACTACACCTGGCTAATTTTTATATTTTTAGTAGAGACAGGGTTGCACCATGTTGTCCAGACTGGTCTCTAACTCCTGACCTCAGGTGATCCACCTGACTCAACCTCCCAAAGTGTTGGGATTACAAGCCCAGCTATTTCTGTTTAAAATTTAAAACAATGAAACAGTGTGTGAACTGCAGCAAAATCATCCCCTCTAAAAATAATGATTAAAAAATATTAATCCATGACTTTTTCCCTTTATTTACATATGTGCCAGCATAATTACATATACAAAGTTCAAGAAAAGAAAATTTCTACTATCTACAGCAGTTCTTTCCTAGACATTACTATTATTCCTTTTGTTTCCTGATCGTTATTGAGCAGAATTCTGTTGTATGGAGGAAGGAAGTATTAGAAACCAATTCACTGTAGGTGAATCATACGGTAGGTCTGCCAGGTGGAGAGAGCAGATTGCACAATTTAATCTGCTCCTTCCACAGCCCCTCGCTGGTGACAAAAGAAGACTTGCTTTAAAGGAGAGGAGGCACCGCAGCACAGTTTGGGAAGCTGAAATGCAGCGGGAGCATGGAAATGACACACCCGGCAGCCCCAGGAAGACTAAGCCTTGGGCTGGCAGTGGAGAAAGTGGAAACTCAGCCAGACTTACCCCACAGAATCCCCAGAAAGCCCAGGACTTCAGGGCACTCCATGTCTCTGGTAGTAGAGGTGATGAGGATGGTGACCTGGAGGCTGCAGGAAGGTTTGTTTAAGGAGGGGTCCAACACTCAGGCCTGCTCCCCACTCTGCATTTTTGGTGATTGTTCTTCTCCCAACCTAGCAGAAGAAGAGAGGTTTATTTTGGGGAGAGGATAAAAAAGTGAGTCTTTTGCACTGGGGCCAGCAGCACAGCTGAGGTCAGCGTTGTCATACCAACACATCTAAGTAGAAGATTCTGTGTATTTTGGATGCTAAAGTCTGTAGCCCTCTTTTCTAATCAGTTTTTGAAAGTCTTCACCCTGAGGCTGCAGACTGGAGGATCTTTCTGGATGGAATGTGAGGGATGGCACAGGGACTATCCCGGTGAGATGACCCAGCACAGCACCCTCCAGAGAAGCTTCAGGTTGGCAGGCAAGTCATGCCTGCAGTTTCCAACCCACATGTTAGTATCCCACTCCTGGGTGTGTGGAGGCCATGAGAGGAAAGCTCTACTATGAAAGATGGGACCAGAATGGAGACCGACGTGGACCAAGATAAAGACAGAGAATGGCAGTTTGGAGAAGAACTTTTCACAAGAAGAAAGCTGTTTTTAAAAAAAGTCATTAATATCCCCAGGAAGATTAAAAAAGATATTGCAACCATGAAACACAGCAGAATGTAATAAACACTGAGAGAACCAAAAAGAATTCTTGGGAATTAAAATTATGATTGCTGGAATGAAAAGCTCAAAAGAAGCTTTAGAAGATAAAAGAGCAGAAGGTAGACAAAAAGAGAAAGAGTTTGAAATTAACGAGAAAAGTTAAGAACCTGAAGGGACTGGTCCATGAGGCTCAGTATCCAAATAATGAGTTTCAGAAAAAGAGAACAGAGGAAACCCAGAGATAGATGAGGATCTGGCAACTAGAAGGTGAGTGTCCACATTGAAAAGACCCACCAAGTGCCCCACCAAGGCACATTATCCTGCAACCTTAGAACTCTGGAGACAGAGGCCCCACAGGCATGTGGAGACAGAGAAAGAGAAGAAAAAATCAAGAACCAGAATGACAGAATGCATTTGTGTTCATTTCCCATTGCTGCTATTAAAAAAGAACTACACATTTTGTGGCTTAAAACAACGTAAGTTTATAAATTCTGGAGTCAGAAATCCAAAATGAGTTTCACAGGGCTAAAAATCCAAGTGTTGGCTGTTCAGTGCTCTTTTCTGGAGACTCCAGGGGAAAATCTGTTTCTTGACTTTTCCAGCTAGTGGCCACCAGCATTGGTTGGCTTGTGGCCCCTCCCTCCATCTTCAGAGCCAGCAGGTTCACATTTTCACATCTCTCTCTCCCTCTCCCCACCCTGGCCTTGGCCTCCATCCTCACACCTCCTTCTCTGACCCTCCTGCCTTTCTTGTTAGGACCCTTGTGATCACATTGTGCTGCCCACATAGTACAGAATAATCTCCCAATTCTGAAATCCTTAACTTAGTCACTTCTGCCATGTCCCTTTGTCATGTAAAGTAACATGATCACAGGTTCCAGAGATTATGACATAAGCATCTGTCTTAGTGATAAAGGAATACCTGAGCTTGGAAACTGTTAAAGAGGTATATTTGCCTTATGGTTCTGCATTCTGCACAGGAAGCACAGTGCCAGCATCTGCTCCTGGGGAGGCCTTGGGAGCTTCCACTCATGGCAGAGGTAAAGGGGAGCCTGCTTGTGCAGAGGTCACACGGTGAAAGAGTGAATGAGAGAGAGGGGGAAGGTGCCAGGGGCTTCTAAAGAGCAATGGAGGAACCCAGCTGGCAAGAGAGCAGTAACATGCCCTCCATTCTGCATGAAAACCACTTCCTGCTTAGATGACCTCTCTCCTCAGCCAAGCTACCAACCAAGGGCAAGGATAAAATAAAGATGCTTTCAGATGTAATTTCTCAAAACATTTACCTGACACACATCCTTTCTCAAGAAACTCCTGAAGGATGTTCTCAAACAAAATGAAAGACTAAAAATCAAGTAAGAAGAACATATGGGGAATGCAGGAGATAGTAGGTCTGATATAGAGAGATGTAAAGGGTATCAGCAAGATGGCACTGAAGAGATTCTAGAAGAAAAGCCATGATGCTGTCCAGATTGGAGTGGTTCAGGAGATTCCAGAAGAGACCTCCTTGAGAAGGTGAACTGATGGTTATCTGGTACATGTGACCTTATTGTGAGGAAATAAAGCCAGTGGGTCAAGTATTTGGGATCAAATTGATATAAGAAATCTAACTGAGCCCATGATCGGACTTGTAGGGTGGTCTGTTAGAGACCATTTAGACTCAGAGTAATAGTTCATTCATTCATTTAGTCATCAAACGTCAGGTTCCTGGTATGTACCAGGTACTGTGTAAGGTTTGGAACTTTCCTTTTTTTAACTTTTGTTAGAGATAGAATTCTTGTTCTAGGAAAAAATTAGCATTTAGACAAAAAGTTTTTTTTAGCAAGGCAATTTTACTTTTTGCAGAAAGGGTGCTACTTGTCATCAATTTTGCTATGAGAGCACAGTGAACAAAGGAAAGGCAGGAATATTTACACACTGGGTCATTACTGCTGTGCCTTATCTTCATTGGTTGGAGCTGGACTTTACAGTCTACGCTAAACTTGATTAGCTAACAACTTAAAACTTTCTTGAATAGGTAAAGGCAATGAAGAACAAAAGGAAAAGAGGAAGTCGCTTGCAAAAGGACTTAGAAAAGTAATAACGTTTCTAAATAAGGAAGGGGCACAGTCTGCCAGCTGGGATGTGCCTATGAGCATGACCAGCACAAATATCTTGGTTAAAGTACAAGGACATAGAATGTGCTTATTCTTTTACACGTAATAGCTACATAGGATAGGGCTTAACAAAGTACTACTAATAAAACGCAAGAAGACTTTGAAGAAAGTTAGTCTTTAAAATAGACTATTATTTCTAACATTTATTATTATTATAAATACTTTTATTTTAGGTTCACAGGTACATGTGCATATTTGTTCCATAGGTAAACTGTGCTATGAGGGTTTGGTGTACAGATTATTTCATCACCCAGGCAATAAGTATGGTACCTAATAGGTATTTTTTCTGATCCTCTCCCTCCTCCCAACTTCCATCCTCAAGCAGGGCCTGGTATCTATTGTTCCCCTCTTTGTGTCATATGTTCTCATTGTTTAGCAACCACTTATAAGTGAGAGCCTATGGTACTTGGTTTCCTGTTAGGTTTGGAACTTTCTTAGCATAGCTAGGGTGTTTGGGTAGAGGATCCTATTGGATGAAGGCCTAGAGTTACATGATGGCTCCATGGGGTCAGCAACTGGTAAGCGAAGGATAGCTGAGGCAGGAAGGCTATTGGAAATCACTGAGAGACAAGGGGGCAGGGCTGGGGCCCAGGAAGTGAGGAGCTGCTGAGCAGAGCAACCCTGTGGCATGGTCTATGTTAGGAAATTAGTGACATGAGTGCAAGAGAACAATATAGTCCTTTTTGCTGGTGCTCTCTGTCTCAGAAGGAAATCATTTCCCACCACAGATGTTGAGGGCAGACACTTTGTTTTGCTGTATGAGGTGGACAATCCAGTCTTTTGATTTGTTTACTAAAGCAAATTTTAAAAATCAAAGTATAGCATACATACAAAACATTAGAAATGGTGCAGCCCAGTGAATTCTCAGTGAGTTCACCTCCACAACCAGCATCCAGACCAGTAAATAGAACAGGAACATTCTTGAGCTCGGTTCTCACTCAGCAAAAGCCTGTTTGAAGGGCAGCCTGTTTCAAAAGGGGCAAGAGATAGACTTGCCTCTCTGGTGGGGCAGTGGAGATTGGATTTTACATTCACAGCAACTGGGTTCAAAGCTCATCTGTGCCACCTTGAGGAGACAGACCGCTGCACATGGCACATGCCATTTGAAACAGGACTGATAAGGCGTTCCTCACCTGTTGGCCATGAATATCACATGACTTAAAGTGAACAGAAGCAATCCACGTACAGTCAGCACTTAAGTTTGTGCTACAGACTTGCTTTAGACTTGATACTGATGCTGGAAGGCTTCAAGACAAGGCTCTGGATGCAAACTTTCTGCTGTCTTCCAGGTATGAGAGAGCCTTGTTAATGGACCCTGCGCCCTTCTGGAGAGCTCTAATCTCAGAGCCTTCCCCTATAGCCTGACCAGCCATCTTGGTACCTGCTGTCTAAGCAGCACCTCATACCTCAGCTTATCACCACCTCTCTGGAGGGCAATTTTGCAATGTCTAACAAAATTTAAAATTGGTATGCTCCTTGAATCAGAAATCATAGTTTTAGGCTGAGCAGTGGCTCATGCCTGCAATCCCAGCACTTTCGGAGGCCAAGGCAGGTGGATCACCTGAAGTCAGGAATTTGACAAAACCCTGTCTCTACTAAAAATACAAAAATTAGCTGGGCATGGCGGTACACTCCTGTAATCCCAGCTACTGGGAAGGCTGAGGCACCAGAATTACCTGAACCCGGGAGGCAAAGGTTGCGGTGAGCTGAGATCTTGCCACTGCACTCCAACCTGGGTGACAGAGTGAGACTCTGTCTCAAGAAGTTAAAAATAAAAATAAAAAAAGAAATTGTAGTTTTAGAAATCAGTCCTAAAGAGATATTTAGCCACATGCACAAAGATTTTGTTGCTGCATTTCCTGAACATCTGAGAAAACTTTGTCTTCTAGTGGTCAAATAACTTATGGTAGGAATACACCAGGTAGTGTTCAGAAGCCCTTAAAATGGAATTGAGGCAATCTAGCACTTTGCCTGTAAAGAACCAGATAGTAAGCATCTACAATACCAAACAAACAACCTTATATTAGTTTTCTACACTGCACGACAAACCACCACAAGCACAGTGACTTAACACAATTTATTTTCTCTCCATCCTGCAGGTCAGAAAGCTGGCAGCACATGGCTGGATACTCTGCTCTGGGTCTCACATGACTGAAATCAAGGTATTGGCTGGCTGGGACTTTGTGTGTAGGCTCTGGGGAAGAACCATTCAGGCTGTGGATAGAAGCCAGCTCCTTGTGTCTGTAGGACTGAGGGCCCTGCTTCCTGCTGCCAGCCCTTCAAGCATAAGCCCTCCATGCTTCAAATCTCTCTGCCTTCCTCTTT